TCTCAGCGAAGGACTAGCAAACCATCCCAGATTTGAGGGTGTAGCTAAAAGACCATAAGTTTGTTGTGCAAACTTATAGCGAGGTAGTTTGCAGTGCAAATAATTGCTCACACAACGAACTTCAGACATTTCTCAGGGGAGGTTTTACTGTTCAGAGGCACTTTAGGTGCCTATAAGTGTGTTCGCTGGGCAAAGAAATAGTTCACATGACAAACTTGACAGATCCCAAAAGTAGTATATAAGTACTTTTCACAGTTTTTGAGAGTCATAACCCATTTTTCACACCAAAACTTCATTTCTCAGCATTTCTTCACCATAAGGTGATATTTTGCAAATAGAAGTTGAATTCGCATCCGAGTTCAATTCTTCGACGTGCATGCTCATTCATCTTCTTCCATTACTTGTAAAGCAAGCTACTATGGTTATGGCTAGCTGATTTCTTTTGTATTAAAGGTAGAGGTAGTCTATCATTAGCTCATATGTATTTCTCTTGGTTGGCCTTGTATGTTAACAAGTGGTGATTAATATATGATGAATATTTTTGTTCTTAATGATCAATTCTTGTTTTGTAAAACTCTAGACATAGATTTTGTGAAATTTGACCTAAAATATTCATCTGTCGATTTATAGATTGGAGAAATATGTCTATGGTTGATAGTTGCTTTGTGTTGAACTTAAAGCTTACTATATTGGTTTTTATATGGAGAAATCGTGTAGTGATGAATACGGTATTTCTCATGACGCTGCTTTAGAGATGGATGGGGTTGAGAGAATGTGTGACAATATTAATCGGATCCGATTTCACATGCAAGATTGAAAGAATACGTATAAGTTAGGGTAGATAAAAACTAATTTTGATATACTTTGTTAATCAAACTCTTTAGAATTTATAAGTTTAGCTACTAAAAACGTGACAATTTTATGAACAAAACTTTAAAACCCTTTTTCTTGAAACTGTAATCTGTTGAACGACAAGCATCAAAATATCTGCAATCCCTGTGGAGACGATAACAAAAATCCCTTTTAACTACGATTCGAGCACACACACACACACATGCACGCACGCACGCGTGCGCACACACACACACACACACATACACACACACACACACACACACACACACACACACACACACGCGCACACACACACACACGCACACACGAACACGCACACGCACACACACACGCGCACGCACACACACACACGCACATGCGCGCGCGCACACACACACACACACACACACACACACACACACACACACACACACACACACACACACACACACACACACACACACACACACACACACACACACACACACACACACACACACACACACACACACACACACACACACACACACACACACACACACACACACACACACACACACACACACACACACACACACACACACACACACACACACACACACACACACACACACACACACACACACACACACACACACACACACACACACACACACACACACACACACACACACACACACACACACACACACACACACACACACACACACACACACACACACACACACACACACACACACACACACACACACACACACACACACACACACACACACACACACACACACACACACACACACACACACACACACACACACACACACACACACACACACACACACACACACACACACACACACACACACACACACACACACACACACACACACACACACCACGCATACGCATACACACACACTAAAATTCTTTATCTGATTTTAAAAATTTAATTTTAAAACATATTGGTTTGGCCAAAGCTCTTTAAAGTCAAAGTATAATCAATTATGATGCTTACTTATTCTATTATACATTGATATTTTCTTTCTAATTGATTATGGAATATGTGTAATTGATTATGGGGTAAATCCGCTAAATAATTCATTAAGGAAACCTTATAATTAATTATGTTTCAGATTTAATAAAAAGTTTTTCATATATTTGATTCTATTAATGAGTTCTTGTGCAAGGATTTTTCTGATATGATGTAAAATAAATTTGAAGTGTCTATTTGCTAGGTCATAATTGATTACAGTCATAGCTTAATTGATTATGCAGTGGATTCCTCCCTAAAAACTTTTCATTTCTTAGCTTAAATGTTTTACTATAAAAGAAGGATTTGCAATCATATTAAAATACACAAGAAATATGAATATTATCTTTCTTCTACTCACTTCCTTTCTCTTAGAATTTTCACTTGCACTTAAAATATTATTTTAATATTGAGAGAGAAAAATATTTGATTGATAAATTAAAAAGTGTACTAATTTTACTAATGTATTAATGACATGAACCCCAAATATCAATATCCTTTGTGATGTTATAGAATTTGACTTCACATTAGTTGAACAAAAAATACTTAGGGGGTTTAAGATTTGGTTGATTGTAACAAGTAAAATTAAAACAAATTTAATGGAGTAGAAAATAATATTAGAAGAGTATGCTAGGAATGAGAGTTTGACTTTGAATCTTTTTATACCCTAAATTAATTTTGTAACAACTAAACCTTATTCCTAATGACTAGCAGTGCTCTATAATATGTATTTCTAATTCCTTAGCAAACAAATATTTAGTTTTAAATTAATTCTAAGGACTATTAGTAAATCATAGATAAAATAAAATAATTATAATATCAACAGTGTTATAGTTTTTATATTGTTATCCATATACCTAGGTGATAACTAATAAAAAAATATTTCTATCGAGCGTTATTTGTTGAAACTCATTTCTAACAAGTAAATGTATTAAAACCTACTATTTGTAAAAAAGTAAAAAGTATTAAAAACGAATAGAAATAAATCATATAGAAAATAAGTACTTAGTCATTACAATATTAATTTATGAATACAAAATGCATCAAATGCAATTACTCATCCTTAACACTATGGAGTTTATCTACTCATAATCCTAAAAAAATATATTGAAAGAATTATAAATGTTACACAGAAATTCGTGACCAAGAAGCTTTAACACAAAAAATTGTTAAAATATGTTATTTGCCACTCCTTACATTTTTTCTCTGCTCCAAGGTGCTTTTTTCACCGTCTAAAACTATGAATCCTTGAGAGAAATAAGATTTTTTTCATGGCAAAATTACACTAGAAGTCCTTTAAGTTATTTTTGTGTAACAAGTTAGTCATTTAAGTTTCTTTGTAGCAACTTGTCTTTTAAGTTATCAAATGTGTGCACTATTACCCTTTTTAACAGAGTGAATGTGCTAATTGTGGATACAATTATTTTGAATGGTATGAAAATGATGAAGTGCAACAAAAAACGTAACAATTACAAATTTTTAAATATTCAAAAATGTGAGGAAAATGATGTAGAAATCAACCTAAACGACTAGGTTGTTACAAAAAAATACTCAAAGGATCAATTTGTTACACAAATATAACTTAAATGACTTCACATGTAATTTTGTCTTTCTTTCATTAATTATGAATACGGGCGTCCAGACAAGATGTTGCTAAACGCATTTGGGGGTCTCTGCATGTTGCTAAACACGTTTGACCAGAGGAAAAAAAAAGACGATATAACCATTGTGTTCTTCATATGAATTTTAGCCATTGATGTTAATTTTTATTTGTGGGAGGTCCCGCGTCAATTAGAGTTATGGCACTCTACATATGGTTAAAATATTATATATACATCATGATGTAAAATATGTTAAAAGTAGAATTTGAGAATCTTTCTAAATTTTCATTGCATTTTTTTTCATTGTGAATCTTACAACCTATGTAACATGTTAAAGCTTTTCAATGTTGCATATTATCCACACAAAAAAATGTCATTACCTCATTAAAAACTTCATTTGTGTATTATTCTTGCAAAACTTATTCGATTTTAATATTAAAAATACTAAATGGTTATCAAATTTGATAAAAATGAAAGGATAAAACATAATAAAATAGTAGTTTAAATAGGTAAATTATCCCTATAAATTAGTTAGTTTTTGGTTTTCATCCATGTATCATTTTTTTCTTAAAATAATTTTTAAATGTTAAAATCCTTTTAATATTCGTCTGTAAGCTTAAAATTTTCAAGAAAATCGGCAGAGTAAAAAGATTTTCATATGAATGTTCTTGTGGATTTTAACATTAATGACAAAGATTAAAAAGATTTTATCATTTAAGAATTTTTTAAGAAAAAAAATGAATACAGAGATAAAAAAAAATAAAAACTCACTAACTTATATGGAGGATTTACCTATTTAAACTTAAAATAATTATTAATGATTGTCCTCAAACAACTTTGAAGAAGAAAAAAGATTAGCATATCAAAAAGAAAATGAATTATGAGGTTGATTTCTCACTTATTCTTTTGTGATTTTCTCTTGTCAATATATTAAACTTTGCAGTTTCACCGAAATTGACCATCTTCTAAAACTTCACTAAATGATACTGTTTTTCCTCCCATATCTCTACACATTCCTACTTAAACGTGTGACTTTTATTATAGCATTTTTAAAGTCATTTATATATGATTTGGACAAATTTTCACAAATCACGGTCCTGATTTCCCTGCCATGGTGCTATTCTTTCAGAAGTCGATTCTGACTGTTCAACTTTTAACTTTTGATTATAGGATTGGATCACAGAAATGGCTTCTTTGGTGAAGTCCATTGACAAGAATCACTTATTAGAAACCGGGCTTAAAGGGTTTTAGGGACAATCAACGCCACAAAGGACCAAATTGAATCCTGCTATTAACATAGGAACAAACTTCATTCGCCAAGACAAGTACATGCAAAAGACAACAAACTCAAAAATAGCTTTAGCTTCCTCTGAATAACAAATAGAAGCTGAAAGCATGACATAACAATACAAACATGTCTACATAATTTAGTTACTCTCTTGGACGAAAATAACATTCTGATTCATCTCTAAGAAAGAAACCTTTATACTTAACACAACACAGACAATAAGCAATTACTACTTCAAATTCCAACTTCAGAATCCAATTTGTCCTCCTCTATTTCCTCTAGCTCTTTTCCATCGCCGTTCATTAGCAATCTTCGAATAGATCTTCCGAATAAGATACAGCTTATGAGATTGCTGAGCAATGACATTAGCAGTAGAAGAACTCTGACCAAGCATTATTCCATATCCGTCGTCGAAAGATTCCATTCCTCCTGTAAGAAGTTGCCAAAATAATGCTCCACTCGCAGGACCGCCTCTTTTGGCAGACGAATATATCTTGTAGAGCACGGTATTGAAAAGTTGATCTCTTTGGTTTGTGCTGTAACCTGAATCCTTAAACGACTTTCCGAATTCCGCTACTAGTATTGGTTTCTTAAGAGCATATTGTGCATCTAGGAAATGAGCACTGAGCCAGTTGTTCAAAAATGCAATCTGATCTTGCTCATTTGAACTTTGTACCCTATTTGTGCAATGAAAAAAACATTGTTATGTTGTTATTAGTACTTGCATAAAATCAAATTCAAGAGTTGTGCAATGTTGAGACAAATTGTAACTCACTAAGTAACAATATTGTGAGTGTTAGTTTAGTTAGTTACCATTGATCGGGATAACAGTGAACAGTTGCGAAATCGATGTTTGGGATTCGATTGTTGGCAATGAAGTCTGTTCCTATGTTAATAGCAGGATTCAATTTGGTCCTTTGAGGAGTTGATTGTCCATAAAAGCCTTCTAGACCAGCTTCCAATAAGTGATTCCTGTCAATGGACTTCACCAAAGAAGCCATTTCTGTTATCCAACCCTATAATCAAAAGTTAAAAGTTAAACAGTCGGAGTCAGCTTCTGAAAGAAAAGCATCATGGCCGTGAAATCAGGACCGTGATTTGTGAAAATTTGTCCAAATCATATATAAAAGTCACACGTTTGGTGGAAAAAAATTAAAAGTATTTTCAGTGCGAGATTTGATTGAATCACTATCACTCTCTAATAGAGGAATAAAGGTGGAGGGTAAAGACAAAAGAAGAAAAGAAAGAAAAAGAGAAAAAGGGGTGGAAGAATCAAGAAAGAAGAAAGAAGAAACAAGTAAAGAATAAAAAATACTTGACCTGAATTGTTCTTCCAGAAGGATCTGATGTACACCTAGGTTCATTCATAAGCTCCCATGCCATGATTGTGGAGTCATCTTTGTAATGGATTCCAGTAAAACTGTTGTATCTGTTAAGAACAGTCTATGGAAGATACATGGAAATTAAATCAGATCAAATTATGTTGTAAATATACGTTTATGTCAAGCGAGATTCTTAACACACTCTTTCACGTTTAAGATTGACTGAACATCTAAAACGTGACACGAATGACCTATAGCTAAAACCTAATATAAGATGGCCAAATTTAAGTGGAGTCTAACTCAATTTTACTAAACGACTCATAATTATAAAGAGTATCTCCGACTAAAAGACATATCTCAATTTCATCGGATCAAATTCACAAGTATTTATGAAAATTCGTAAGACAGAGTTAAGTTTTTGATCAAGGTATATTGCGAAAAATCAGAGTAAATGTGGCGGATGTAGTCTAAATCATATGCAATTTTAATAAGCAGAAAAAAGAATTTGTACTAACCTTGACATGGTTGATGTAGAAACCTTTAACAACAGGGTTCCTAAAGAAATCATCATCAGATGTCAAATACTGCCCATTATTACTTCTAGCCCAGTTCACATACTGCTTCTTTCCACCAAAACTTTCATAATTGTTCACCAAACTCAGTATCAGCTTAATCCCATGCTTTCTTGCCTCAGATATAACAAAATCCAACCCCTTCAAACCAAAAAAAACATAGAAAATCAGAAAAAACAGATTCAACCACCAAATTATATCATAGGTTAAATTGATTTGTTCTCGGCCGAAATCGGAGAATTAAGAGAAACTAAAATACCTTAAACATTTGTTCATTATAAAAACCAGGAGAATATTGCAAAGGACTATAACCACCATCACTGAATGCCCAAGTTCTAGCAACAGTAAGGCCATGATTTCTTGCTTCACGGAAAGCATTTGAAACTTTGTATCTCTGAGATGGATCAGCAGCGGTATACATCAACCAGTAAGCATTGAAACCATTTGCATAGTAAGGATTTCCATTTAACATGAAGTGGAACCCTCTTGTTCTGACAAAACCATTACCACCACCAGCAGCTTCTACATTGATATTGAAACAACAGACCAAAATGGCCAAAAGAAAAAAGAAAGGAAAATGCTTCATCTTTGAAGTTTGATGTCCTAGTTTTTGGTAGATACACTAAAAAGACTAGTAATGTGTATGGAGAGTTGTTTTGTTGGTTTATTATATGGTTAGTATAGTATAGTCAGTGGGAAGAGGAAAGGGAAAAGTGCATCTATATAGTCTTTAATTAGCAGTTGGTAGACCATGAAATTTGTCTTCTTTAACTATCATTAAATGAGAAAAAAAATAACAGATAATATTTTTAATTTATAACAAACGGATCATAAGACCAAAAAGTAATACACTTAAAAATGTGATAGCTATTATGCTAAAAATAGTATATAAGTTTTTTTTTTAATTTAAAAAAAAAAGTTTATAAGTTGGAAGCATGAATTGGTATTAAATAAATATACCTTATTTATTTATTTATCTAAATTCATTAATCATATTTAAGACATAATTAAATATGAAATATGAATATCTTTATGATTTGAAACTTTAACCTTTATTTAAGAGTTTAATCTCTTCTGTTAAGACCAATTTATATTGATCAAATATTCCATTTTATCACAACCGTAATGATATTTTGAAAGGCTAGATAGACTGATATATCCCACTTCTATGCCATTAGAATAATAAAACCATTTTATTTTGATTAAGAAAACAACTTTGTTTTTATCAAATTAGGAAAAGAAATAGATACTCAAATGAATCGTAACCACACAAAATCGTCGCATATGAGTCCCGGGTTGAAAGGGTACCGACACTGAACTGGTATAATTGGAAAAGCAGGCAGGTAAACCAACTTCCACGCTTTTTAGATGGGGATTTAGAACAACAATACCGACTTTTAAAACGTAAAATGAACTGAATTTAATTTGTTTCAACTACTGAGAGTGTTTAAACATTAAGAAATTTTATGTAAATGTTATCTATGATGAAATGATTTTATTGTTAATTTGAGTGCAACTTAAATAAAAATAAGTTTATATACACTACAAGAAATGTGTTGTTTAACGAGAATAATATATCATGGTTAAACTTCTAAAGAAAATTACATTTTTTTGGATTAAACTTTTTGCAATTTAACAAGCAAAATAATAATAATAACAATAATAATAATATTAATAATAATAATAATAATAATAATAATAATCATCGTACAAACTATAATCTCTTGCAAAATAAAATAGAAAAAAAAAAATACAAAAGATGACCCCTCACAACACTTGAGAAAAAAAAAGTTGAAATTCAAAATGGACATTGTAAGAGATCGCCTATTGCGTAGTTTAATGGTGCCAATTGAATTTTCCACGAGATGACAAATAGCAGGGAGTAGATACGCTTTGTAGGTGTATATGTGAAAATACTGACATATGGTAGAGTTTGCGAGGGATGACTCTGTTTACCTCTAGTTTTAGTAAACAACTGCTAATCTCTTTAGTAAAATTTAATTGCATGATCAATTAGTGAATCTTATGACATATGTGCATAAATTTTTAAGAGTGTTTGACTGTTTGTTGTAAATATAACATAAATTTTAACTTGCAAGAAAATAAAGACGAAACTTATAAAGAAAGCAAGGGGATTTTGATATGCTCGAGATCATTATAAAATTGAAGACAAAACAAGTAAATTTTTGGAAAGGAATATGAAAAGTAAGAAACAATAATATTTTTCTTAAATACGCAAAGAATGGTGTGCAGGATCATACATTTTCTCACTTGTTTCTCGCTATTGTCTGGGTACTTTGACTATTTAGAACTTTTTTGTAATGATATTTCCACCCTGAATCTTAACACTAGAATCTATATATATACTAATACATAAATAATTGCCTACAAGATCTCTATTCCTAGCTATTGACACGTATCTAATTGCATGGTTTCCACCCTTCTGGCTTGCCTCCACGTGTCTTTGATGCATGGATAAGACTAAAAGACAGTTACATAATCTGATCTCGACGTTTTGCTTTAAACTGCCACATGCATTCCCCGTCGAATTCTTTAGATCATAGGCGAATTCCTGAGAATACAATCTTGTTAAGTCCCAACTTCAGGTTTGACATAACTATTTTGACGCTCTTGGCTAAGGATCCCTCTAGTCGAAATATTATCATACATCACCATTTTCTTAAGTGTTTTCTGAATCTTTTTTCCTCATGGCAAGTTTAATGATGTCGAAATTCTAATTCCAACAAATTGACCCCCTAAAATGCCACTTTCGACCAATTGAGAGATATGGGAGTTTTTGAAACTTTCCAGCACTATGTCAAGTAATGGACTGACGTCATTGTCATCATTACACCTTTAACGAAACATCTTTTCAAGACGCGCAACCATAAACTCTCAATCATGACTCCACTTTCCTAGGAGAACGTGGGCCATCAAGATCTGCACCCCACATTTTGTCTTAGCGAAGAACACATGTCTCAAACATAGGGGACATTTGTCAAAAAGGAAGAACTAATTTCTCAAAACACAATTTTCTCTTAACGAAGAACACATTTCTCAAAACACAATTTTCTCAACTACATTTTCTCCAAAAACGCGTTTAAACTTTAGGCAATTATGGTTTCTTCATCAAAATCAAAGAACTCACTACCTCTTGCTGCTATAGTTAAGGTTTATATTGTTGTTGGGAACTAATTCTACATTCCAGAGCCACCGTTGGAAGAAAAGAAAGCTAGGATATGGAAATCTCAAGTGCTTATCCCTTTCTTTATCTCTTAAAATACTCACACATTTTTGGATATGCTCTCTAACCCTAATGCCAAAGCTGAAAGGTTAAATGAACTTTTTCCTTCTTACCATTGTACCAAGCCCATAGTCGTCACTAAGCAACCTATTGACCCAAATTACATGAGTGCTACCTACGTGTTTTTCGCTCTTCTCCCTCTACCAAAAACAAAGAAGATTACCTTGCTTGGTTAGACAAAATAGAGTCCAGGAAAGTAACAATTTGGAAAGAACAAGGTCTTTATGACCTGATTCAGCTATTGAGGGTTGGCCCTCCATATTGCCAAACATATGTTTGTCACATCATTGTACTTTTGGAAAGGCACAACGAACACCTTCCAATTGCCTTATGTAATGATAACACCCACTTTATTTGACGTGGCGGCCATCACTGACCTTCACCCAACTGTACGAGGTGAAGATACCATTAACTTTGACCAAAAGCGTACTAGATTTTCTAAGTTCATTATTGATCACCATGACACCTAAATTGAAGAAGTGTCATAAAAATAATACATAGCCTTCTTGACAACGTGGTTGTCATGTTTCATTTTTTGTTGTAAATCACTGAATGTGGCTAAAAGGTTCCTTAGTTTAGCCAACCAACTAGATGATAGTCGAAACATTTGTTTAAGCTAGTTAACATTGGGATCTCTTTATGAGTCACTAAGGCTTACAACTTACACCCTAAAAAACCTTGTCCTTACAGCCAACCTTTTACTTGTTGGCCCTTTTTGGTTACTTCAACTTTGGATGAATGCCATGTTTCAAACCTCTTTACAAATGGGTACCAGAAATAACCAAGTCGGAGATATAAAAAACAGACAAATTGAAAGCACCAGACTTGCCTTAATGACTCTTGTTGATATAGGACGCTTGATGCAAGATACTTTTACTAAGTAATTTATGATGTTTGCCAAGAGTCACACCTTCACTCCTTCGATGGCTCCCCTTGTAATTTGAAACTATGGGCCAGAGTGGTTCAAATGAGAGTTCCCCGCTCTTGCTCCTGAACATAAAACTGAAGCTAACGAGATATGGAAGGCCTTTCTTACCCGAAGATTATTATCATCCAGACTTGGGAGCACTAAAGACACAATTGGGCTAGTTGGTTATCAACCAAACTTAGTGTCCCGGCAATTTGGGTTTAGTCAATTTTTGCCCACATCATTCTTTAATCTCAAAATGAGCTTTGCCTCAGCACCATCAAAATGAATGAGGCACAGTACGCTGAATATTTGAATCGACAAGTCAATGTGTTCATTGATGACACACCTTTTCAACTCCAAACATCCTTCTACTGCACTCAAGAGTTTAATGCCTGGTGGAAACCTTACCATAATGACTAATTTGTAGCTATGTCGTACTTGATGAGTTCTCTAACAAAAGCTTTTTCCTCTCTGCAGGCCAAGTGTTTACCGTGAAAATTGATAAACAAACGCTGGTCTTTCAAAATTTTGGTTTACTTGCAGGATCAACCAGTGAATCCTGAGGACATAGCTATTGTGTTAATATATTTCTGGAAAAAGAGTGATAAACACTTCGAAAAAATTCATTAGTATAAAAGATTGTTTTAATTAATTGTTGAAAAGGTTAAAATTTGCAAAAGTTTATAAAAGAAATGCAGTGAAGAGAATAACTTCAAAGTAAAAGAAATGCAGTAAAGAGCAATTGGTAAAAAGAAAGTAGATTCTTATTGAATAAAGTATGGTGTTTCAACGTACATTTCTCAACATTAACTCTTTTCTCACGTGAACTTGGATATTTTGAGTAAATTTTGAGTACAGTACAACAATTGAACACCTGAAATCCTAATACTAAGACTCATATTTATAATGCGTCGAAATAACTGTCTCAAACGAGCATTTTTCCGAAAGTTGACACGTTTCGCCATGCATTCCTTGGTTTCGCCATAGTTCTCAATGTGTCTCTCCTGAGAAAATGGATAAGGACAAAAGACACTTATCTATCCGTATTTTGAAATTCAAAATTCTGTCGAAGGAAGGCTCCAAATCATCCCTTCGTCGAAGTAACCTTCCATACTTAGAAAGTATTTCTAAGTTTTTGTCCAAGCATGTCTCCTTATGAGAACCACTTTGACAGAACTTCACATCAACTTCTGTCGACGTCCACCAAATTTAAGAAACTTTAATTTTCACTTAGTTTCTCAAATGGGAACGTGGCGTCGAAATTCCCAGCCAACAAATTGCCCCTAAAAATGTCATTTTCGACTAAGTGGAGAAAAGGGAATTTTTTGAAGTTTTTCATATTCGACGTCAGAAAACCTTTGGACTACTATGA